GAGTAACGTTGTGTTTATTAAGTAGCTCCGTGGAAAGGCTATCCCCTGGACATGACATGGTCATTGTCCTCTTGAACTCTCAGCAGCTCTGATTACCCACAGGAGACCTGCTTAAGACGGACACACTAAACATTCTATTATAGACATGGGAAGGGGCTCACAGGTACCCATACACCATCCCTGGTTGGGGGGGGTGGAGCTGGGGACACCCTGCCCATACTCCCTGAAGATATAGATGTATACAGAGATAAGTTAGCAGATATTGATGTCAGAACGACTGCTATGGGTGCCTTCCCTGAATGCAGATAGTGTAATACTATATTCACAATGTCTCTGACTCTTTTCAAAAAGATGGTGCCTAACATCCCCTACCCTTGTATGTGAGCTAAATTCAGTGACTGGCTTCTAAACTGTTCATGTGCTGTGGCAGAAATGATTGCTTCTGAAGCTATGGGATAAAAGAGCATCTCTTCCTCCCCTCCCCTTCTTCCTCTGCCCCTTCCTCTTCTCATCTCTCCATTCCCTGCCTGTCTCAAGCCACCATGTTGTGAGGACATTCAATTAAGTAGCACGTGTACAGGCCCATGTAGGCAGGAACCTGAGGCCTGCCTCCAACAACCAGCACCACTTGTCAGTCGTTTGGGTGAGCAAACCACCTTGGAGGTGGATCCTGCACCCCTAATGAAGCCTTCAGATGGCCACAGCCCTGGCCAGAATTTTGACAATCTCATCAGAGCTAGAACTGCTAAAGCTATTCCTGAATTCTTAATGACCACAAATTGTGAGTAACAGATGCTTGTTATCATTTTAAGTTAGTTTTGGGGTTGTTAGCAGTCAGTCTGGAGACCCTCTGGACTGGTATATTGATCCCTGTGGAATGGTGGGGACTTTGGCTCCAGGCTCTAAGTGTCCCAATATACAGTTCATACCATGCCAACTACTCACTGATTTTTCTGAACACAAGTTTCCTGGTCTATTGTCACACAAAGAGGATACCATTAGATTAACACACACTACAAATATGAAATAAGGTGATATGTTCAATATTCCCAAGCTTTCCCTAGAACCAGGCTCAGTGTCTAGCTTAATATTCAGACCCAGCTCATGATCTTTTTCACAGGCTCCCCTAAGCCACCTAAGTTTGCCGCCTCTGACCAACACAGTGACTGATGGCCTTGTGTCCTCCTCTATCACTCAGGTCTTAGTTAAGAGGTGTTTTCTGATCTGTGGTTTGCTGTCAGTAAGATAGACACAGTCCTGTTGTGTGGTCCAGGCACTCCTCTTCTCCCAGGCTATAGTCAGGGTGTATGTCTGGCCAGAGGACAGACAGTTCAACCGATAGTACTCACAAACTCTGGCCCATCTAGGACTAGCCAGGACCATGTTCTTAGGAGATTTAGAAAGCCTAGAGTGGTGGCTCATGCCTGTGACTCAGTACTCAAGAGACTGAAGCATGAGTATTATTGTGAGCTCCAGGGTATTGTGGGCTACAGCGTGAAATCCTTTCTCAAAAACAAACTAGGCATAGTGGCACACACCTTTAGTCCAAGCATCCTGGAGGCAGAGGCAGGTAGATCTCTGTGAGATGGGAGTTCAGTCTGGTCTGCACAGTGAGTTCCAGGCCAGTTGGGGCTAGAGGGAGACCCTGCCTCAAACAAAACTAAACAAAAAACAGAAGCAAAAATAACCACAATTAAGACAATGCAGTAATGTTTGAGTCTAGTTGTTCAGGGTCTGTAAAATTCCCCAAATTGACCACTCAGACACCCAGTCAGAGTAAAAAGGAGCACTTTATTGGAGCCAACTGGTTGGGGACACAGAGACATCTCAGGAGCTGTACTGTGACCCTGAGCAGTGAAAACACAGGGCTTTTAAGCAGAAAAACCACAAAGCAGGGGATGTCCATAGAAACTATACACAGAATAACCAGGAAAGGATTGGAACAATCTAGGGCTGCTTTCCAGAGACTTTATCTATACAGCCATTGGCTGTCTTACCTGAGGCAGAAGGTTCTTTCTCTTCTGCCCCAGATTATTGCCATAGAAACCATACACAGATGTATCAGGTATACTGCCATTGGCTAGCTTACCTGGGGCAGAATGTTCTATCTCTTCTGCCACAGATCATTTTTATAGAAATCATAAACAGATACCAGGAAAGTGTTTGAACAATGGAGGGGATTTCCAGAGTCAGGTGGAGGGCGGCTTTTTCTCAGAGGCCAGGGAGAGGGTCTGAGGGGCACTCTTTCATAGAACAAATTGAGATGGTATTCCATAGAAAAATGTCACTTGTGCTTCAAATTCGAAGTGATAGGAAAAAACAGAACCCTAGAGCTGCAGGGATCTCTGGTCCAGGCCTTGGGAAACCCTGTGTAGAAGCTTCTCAATCTTTGCTTTTTATCAGCTCCTCTTTGTTTCCAACACTATTAGTAAAGTCAGTAGCTTTACTCCCCACTTATGATGTCTGAGCTAGTCTAGGTTTTTTTTTTTTTTTGTCTTTTTGAGACAGGGTCTCCTTGTAGCCCCAGTTGTCCTGGAACTCACTATGTAGACCAGGCTGGCCTTGAACTCAGAGATCTGCCTGCCTCTGCCTCCTGAGTTCTGGGATTAAAGGCGTGTGCCACCACGCCCAGCTTTGTTTGTGTTTTAACTAAGGTTTAACTATATAGAGCAGAGAGACCTGGAACTATGTAGCCTAGGCTGACCTTGACGTTGCAGGGATCCTCCTGGCTTCTCCAAGTACCTTCATTACAGGCCTGCCCAATTACTCCCAGTAGATGCTAAGTGTAAACAGCTCAGCTTCCACAGATTGCTGGGCTTGGCACCCAGAGCACTGTTCATGAGGGAAACTATAGGTCCTGCTGCTTCCCATTTCTGTAACTCCTTCCTCTTGTGCTATAAGTCTGAAGCCACTACATAGAGAAACACCTGCTCTTCATTCTCAAGAAGGAGCTTTGGGAGGTGCCTTGGGTGCCGCCTGTCCACCCTCAGCCAACTAAAGGGCCATGGCTCTACTTGGAACCATAATCAGCAAAGCACACCAGGCTGGTTCCTAGGCACATTGTTCCTCTGGGGGCTGGGACAGATCATCACCCACAACTGGCACCACTCTTGGGGTTGCTGAGCTGATGGCATTTTTCTATGATGAGTAGACACAGTCTCAAGTTTTTTCCTTTTTCTTTTGTTATTATTAGTGTGCGTGAGTCCAGGTGTGTGCATGCCATGCGCTCATGTGGAAGTCAGAAGACAATTTTGGGGAGTTGGTTTTGGCCTCCCACCTTGCTGATGCAGCATCTCTCTTACTGTTTTTGCCACACTGTGTACGCCAGGCTAGGTGGTCACTGGGCTTCTGATCAGTTCTCCGTCTCTGCCTCCTATCTTGCCATAGGAGTGCTGTGATTACAGACACATGCCACCCCATCCAGTGTTTTTACTTGGGTTCTGAGGATCAAACTCAGGTCATAAGGCTTGTGTGGCAAGTGCTTTTATATGCTGAGCTGGTTTCCTGGCCCACATTCTCAGTTCTTGTGCATCAGTTTTCATTTACTCACAAAGACCTTTGACTCACGAATCCACAAAAAAAATTATTAAAAAATGATAATGGGGGTGGGGGCTGGAGAGATGGCTCAGCGGTTAAGAACAGTGGTTGTTCTTGCAGAAGACCCGGGTTTGAATCCCAGCACCCACATGGCAGCTAACTCCAGTTCCAGGGGATCTGACAGCTTCTTCTGACCTCCACAGGCATTGCACAACACAGGTGCACTTACCTACATGCAGGCAGTACACGCATACACATAAAATAAAAATAATAAATATTTTTTAAAAATGATAATGGGAGGCTGCGTCGGGCTCCCTCTCTCACAGACCATTGCAGTACATTGAGCTCCATAGAGACAGTGCCAGGGCAAGTGAGAGCTGGACGGGCACTGGGCGACTCTGTGCCTTGCTAAGGAAAACAACCAAACCTGGGCAAAGGGGATCCTGAGAAGCCGAGAGTATGCATTCTTTGTGCAAACTTGGCAGGAGGAGCACAAGAAGAAGCACCTGACGCTTCCGTCAACTTCTCAGAGTTTTCCAAGAAGTGCTCAGAGAGGTGGAAGACCATGTCTGCTAAAGAAAAAGGAAAGTTTGAAGACGGGGCAAAGGCTGACAAGGCTCGTTATGAGAGAGAAATGAAAACCTGCATCCCTCCTAAAGGGGAAACAAAAAAGAAGTTCAAGGATCCTGACGCACCCAAGAGGCCTCCTTCGGCTTTCTTCCTGTTCTATTCTGAGTATTGCCCCAAATTAAAGGAGAGCGTCCCGGCTTATCTGTTGGTGATGTTGCAAAGAAACTGGGAGGGATGTGGAGCAGCACTGCTGCAGAGGACAAGCAGCCTTACGAGAAGAAGGCTGCCGCCGGGCTGAAGGAGAAACACGGGAAGGATATTGCTGCCTACAGAGCTAAAGGAAAACCTGATGCTGCAAAAAGGGGGTTGTCAAGGCTGAAAAGAGCAAGAAAAGGAAGGAAGAGGAGGAAGATGAAGACGACGAAGAGGATGATGACGAATAAGTTTGTTCTAGCGCAGTTTTTTTTTCTTGTCTATAAAGCATTTAACCCCTTGTACACAACTCACACATTTGAAAGAAAAAATTGAAATGTAAGGCTGTGTAAGATTTGTTTTTAAACTGTACAGTGTCTCTTTTTGTATGGTTAACGCACTACCGAATGTGTCTTTAGATAGCCCTGTCCTGGTGGTACTTTCAACAGCCACTAATCTTGCCTGGTACAGTGTGGGGGTTGTAAATCGGCATGGAAATTTAAAGCAGGTTCTTGGTGCACAGCACAGATTAGTTATATGTGGGGACGGTAGTTTTTGTCATCTTCAGTTGTCTCTGATGCAGCTTGTATGAAAATAATTGTTCTCTTAACTGAATACCACCCTGTAATTGCAAAAAAAAAAAAATTGCAGCAGTTTTGTTGACATTCTGAATACTTCTAAGTCAATACAATTTTTTTTTATTTTAAAAAAAAGATACTGGATCAATCTGTGACCTCTCTTCGCTCTCCTCTGCGTCATCAGACGACATGCTTGAGGGCTCGACCACCACCACTTCTTCCGGGGCCCTGGAAGAAGAGCAATGCCAAGGCTTTTGATTAATTTAAATAATTTAAGTTTTGTGTACAAATGCTAACAGACAGTTGTTAGCCCCCATGTGGCTACTAGGAATGGAACCCTGGTCCTCTGCAAGAGCAGCCAGTGCTCTTTACCACTGAGCCATCTCTCCAGCCCACGGCTTTTAAACCTGCAACAAGTAGCTTGTCTTTAGCTCCTCATTTTAGGTAGGGATTTTAAATCACAGTCATTTACCCAACATTCTTTTTGAAAATCTCTGATTCTCTTTTGAGAATCTCCTTGTCCTGTAGATTCTCAGCTATGTTTTTCTTACATGTGTCATGCAGAGACCTGTTCAAATCCCTAAGCCACAGTGGCCACCTTAGCCAGAAAAATCCTTCCTAGAAAACAAGGGGGATATTAGTTCTGCTTACTCCTGTCTTCTCCAGCCACAGCACCAAGTCTCAAGCTTACCTGACTCTCGGTGTCCTTCTCACATTTCTTACCCCTTGGAAGAAAGCTGGAGACAATTAGCGATTGGGTCATATTTTGTGTCCCTCCCAGGGGACATCTTGGTTTCCTCATGACAAAATGCATGCTTTGGCCCATAAATACAGTAAGAAAAATCACCCCAGGGCTGGGGCTTAAGAAAAATTTCATGCATGCCTGGCTTCTTGGAAGTCCCTAAGAGTGTCTTAAGGGCCCCACAAATGCCTTGGGGAGATCTTTATGTGACTTGTCATGAAGCATAGTCAAGGCTCCAATAGGACTGGGGCCCCACTCATCCCTTCAAACAAATTGCACCAGGCAGAAGCATTTCACTGTCTTTTCCATCAGTGCCCTTCAGACCCTCTGGTGCAGACCTGCTGCTCCTGTTTGCCTAGCTGCTTTATTCTACAAGTGAGTCACACTGAGCAACACCAGCATCCAACTGCACAGTTCCCCTGCTCATAAAATTTTCACTCTGCAGGATGCCTCTGACGGTTGAGTTGTGAGAACAACTTAAAGGACATAACCAGCTGGGCATGATGAATCACACCTGTAATTCCAGCAGTTGGGAAGCTGAAAGGGGAGGATTGCCATGATTTTGTGGCCAGCCTTGGCTACATAGTGAGTTCCTGATGCCATCACCAGGAGGAATAGGCACAATCCAACCCGAAGCTGAAATGGGAGGATTGCCATGAGTTTGTGGCCAGCCTTGGCTACATAGTGAGTTCCTGATGCCATCACCAGGAGGAATAGGCACAATCCAACCCTTTTGCCCTTCACCCTCTTTCCTTGAAGGGCTGGTGATACCATAGCCCTTTTTGATAGTCCTATCTCTGCCTCTTTGGGGAGCCAGGAAAGTCACTGGGGGAGGTAATATTCTTCCTCAGTTTCCTCCCTGTGAAATGAGGGGATTAAATTAGATGAGTTCCAAGTTCTCTTCTAGTTCCCAGATTCTCCTTGAAAGATTGTCAGTCTCATATTTACCCTGTGGCCTTTTCTTCATCTCCCACTCTCTTTCTTCTTCTATGGGAATAAATCTGTTTTGGAAGAAAACACAGGATTGTCACAAAGGGCTGGAGATGTATCTCAGTGGTAGTAGGGTGCTTTCACGGGGCCTGGGTTCAATCCCAAGCACTGAAAAATAGAAGATTCAGTGAATGTATGGCATGTTATAAACATATCCGTTGTCAAATGAAAATAGGGCTACAAATCCCATGTCATCTGATTCAGAGCTAAAAATTTTCCCATTTCCATGTATTGTGTGTTTTCATGCATTATGTGTTTTTGTGTGTTAGGTGCACAAGGGCACACATGCACATGCTCATGGAGGCCTGACGTTGATGTTGGAGATCATTCTAGATAGCTCTTCCACTTTATTCACTGAGGCAGGTCAAACAGAGTTTACCAATATGGCTAGTCTCACTAGCTGGCTTGCCCTCGGGGGGTCACCTCTCTGCCTTCAAAAGCTGGAATGACAGGTAGCCACCATACTTGGCCAAGAATTTACTTGGGTTCTGGGGATCTGAACTCTGAACTCCAGTCCTCATGTTAGTGAGGCAGATGTATTAATTACTGGGCCTCCTCTCTAGCTGTGACATTTTGTTTTTACAAAATAAGACAGCTGACATTTGGTAGAGAAGAATTTAAGAATAGTTATGCAATGTATGAAAAAGATCAGAATCTTGTCTGACTGAATATACTCTTGAGTTACTCAGCAACTAGGATTTCAGTTAATATACAGAGCAACTGGGATGAAGTAGTGTGACCCCAGTACTGCTGCAGGAAGGACGGCAGGATGGATGGAAGAGTCCACATAGAGATGGTATCTTAGACCAGCAAACAAAGAACAAATCATTTGATAAAAATCATTTGAAATCTGGATATTCACCTAAGAGGGACATAGTCCCTACCCCCACCATATCAAAAAACTAAACATTGAAACTCTAGGAGGATTAAAAATATAAGTAACTACTGGGCTACTGAGTGACACACGCTTGTGACTCTGAGGTAGAGGAAGGAGAATTAAGAGTTCAAGGGCAGCCTGGGAAAATAGTGAATTTCAAGTCATCCTGGCTACAGGAGATGCTGTCTCAAACTCCTCCCTCCCACAAAAAACCATACATATATAAAAGATATTTATGTGTACGTTGTATATGTATACATACATTTTTATATAAAAACATATATAAAAACATATATAAAACAAAGCAGCATTAGGAAAGTACTAGAAAGAATCAGCAGAAACTGCCTTGATTCTCTGAGGTAGCGAAGCTTCTGTAGCAAGAGCATAACACGAGGAAGGAGGTACAGGCTGGTAGATGAGTGGCTTTGAAAAGAAATACTCCTTTTCTCCTGGATTGCCTTTTAAATGAAATACATTAATGCTTTCAATAGTTTGTGATGATTTGATTTTACGTCCGTGCTCCCAGTACTCTGTCTCTAAGGAGGTGAAACTGAAGAGTGGTATTAAGTAATTCATGTAGGCTTTACAGTCAGGGAAACGAGTTTGGCTCTTGGTTTGGCCACTGGGGCCTTAAGTTGATCTCTTTCATCTGTAGAAGAGGCTTGCTAAGGTCTTCCTAGAAGGAGTTTTGTGAGTAGATCAGACAATGTATGTAAACTCTGTCCTGTGCTTAGCAGGTTTAAGTGCTAAGTTGCCTAATGGTGTCAAAGACAAGGTGCTTAGATCTACAAAATGCTCTGCCTTGGAGTCAGGGTCTCCCAGTAGCCTCAGCTGTCCTGAAACTCAGTATGAAGACCAGGCTGGCCTCAATCTCACAGAAATCTACCTGCTTCTGCCTCTCAAGTGCTGGGATTAAAGACAGGCACCACAGCACCTGATTGGGAGATTTATTTTTATTTTTTGGTATTTTTGAGACAGGTTCCCCCTGTAGCCCCAGCTGGCCTAGAACTTGCTATATAGACCAAGCTGGTCTTGGTCTTGAGATGCACCTGCCTCTGCCTCTGGAGTGCTAGGATTAAAAGTGTGTGTCACCACGCCTAGCTCACGATTTTTAGAAATTGCTTCTATTTTTTCCTCATTGTCATAGAGGTTTTTTTGAAAAAAAAAAAAAAGGGTATTTTTGAAACAGGGTCTCCCTGTAGCCCCAGCTGGCCTGGAACTATGTAGACTAGGCTGGCCTTGAACTCACACAGATCCGCCTGCCTCAGCTGCCTCTGCTTTTCAAGTGCTGGGAGGCCTGGCTCTGTGTGTTACTTTAAGTATTTGCTAGAGGCAAAACACGCACGCACACGCATGCTTCTTCTCTTCACAGAGTCTATCGTCTAAATGGGCAGAAGAATCCATGTAAATGTGAATATATACAAAGGTGAACTGTATATACAAGTGAAGTGCAGGATAGGAGCAGATACAAATTTCAAGGCCAGCCAGTCGATGCGGAGGGCTCTACCTGTGCAGTGGCCAGTGGTCATCTTCCCAGGGGCTTTGCATTGAGTCCATGCTGGTCTCTGCCTTCTAGGCACAAAATTAGACCCTGTCCTCACTGAGAGAGAACTCATTCATTCCTTTCAGACTGTCTAACATTATTTACATTACAGGACAGACCTCCAGTGCCACACAATGACCTGACATCGAGAAACGTTGTTTCATGGACAGAACACCTGTTGACAAACTGGGACATTACCTTTAGAGAGAGGGGGTAAGTGACTTTGGTTTTTAGTTTGCGGGTTCTAAAAATATTACACAGAGAGGGTACATTCTGGACACCTGAATGCATTGTCCTTACCTCAATGAGGCAGAAAGTGAGAACGAAAACCGTCACTACTACAGTCAGAGATACTGCTAAGATGAGTTTTTTCTCAGAGCCGTATCTTGGAACCTCCGAGCGCTAAAAAGTATTAAAAAGAAAAAAGGAAAAGAACATTTTTTTTCTTAAATAGTAAAGACAAGAAAAGGATGAAAGAAGTTTAACTGTTCTAAACCCATTCTTGAGTTGAGCATGGGCTTATACCTGATGTATATAATCTATCCCTTGGGAAGTTAAGGCAGGATTACCAGGAGTTTGAGACTCTTAATAAAAACCAAGGTCTGGGGCTGTACCTCCGTGGTTGAGCCCTTGGTTTAGTATGGTGCTGGGTTTAATCCCCTGCACTGAAAAACAAACAGCACAACAAGAAGGAAAAACCCTAAAAACATTCTTCTGTGTGAATAGCGTGCAGATTCTTAAAGAATATACCAAGTCCGATATGTTGCCTTCCTAAAGCACTTTATCCTATTCTGTGCTTTAGGTCTGCTTCAGTCTCTGATTTTAGAAGCACAGCAGAGATCACTGTCTTGGCTATAGTTATGTGGCCAACACAAGATCTGGACTGGGAGTGCCAGGTCTTCCCGCTTAAATAACGGGAATGTTGGGGCCTCGGGGCCTCGCATCCTGGACCTGTCCTCACCTGACTTGACTCCAGCTCCTCCTGTTTGCTCTGGGCTTCTGTGCTCTCACTGATGTAGTTTTCAGTTTTCCACTGGTCTGGATCCCAGTTAGTCCTGGCTACCTTGATTTCCTGCAGCTCACTGAGAAGCTTCATCAGGAGGTCTGCTCTGGATATGAGCTTGGCATGGGACAATTGCAAGTGAGCCTCAGAGCTGTCCGTCTTTAAAGTCTTAACGTGAGAAATGAGCTTTCTCACGTTGTTGGGGATGAGGGGCTTCAGCTGCTGGTTCAGCTGAGCTTCAGACTGTTCACCTGGTGATAACAGTGCTGGGTCACGTTGTTGTTGGGGATGAGGGGCTTCAGCTGCTGGTTCAGCTGAGCTTCAGACTGTTCACCTGGTGATAACAGCGCTGGGTAAGCAGCACGGATGGGTGGGGTGTGTGAGTCACTGCCTACGATGTAGAATCTTGGCTGAGTCTCACCGGCATTTTGAACAGTTGGAACTAAGGTGGATATAGGCACAGCAGACTCTGCAGCAGGAGTCTTGAGGGCTGCATTTTCTGATATAGTTTCTTCTGACTCAGGGATGTTTGATTGTGGGGAAGAAGAGACTCCTATGCCCTGTTCCCTTGGAAGTGAGGGCTCTGGATGGAAAGAGTTTCCCACCAACCTCCTGGGCTTCTGCACCAGGTCAAGGTGCTGCAGCTCCATTGTGGGTGGGCTCCTGAGCCGCCTGTCTTTGGCAATGTTCTGTACAGATGGCGGGGATCTCTGTTTGCTCCTCGGGTTCTTTTTGCTTCCTTCCTTGAAGTGCCTTTTGTGTATGCTTCCTGGTCCCCCAAGGACTCTGTTCATCCTGTGGAACCTTCTCTTTTCATTCTCAATCTCCGCAAGACTGTGTCCCTCTGCCTGGGCAGGTTCCCATCATTTTTCAAGTATATGTTGTTTAATTTTGGGCCCTAAACTGCTAGACTGCTGCATAAGCTGTTCATTCATGAAACCCGAGTAAGTGCCATCTTCCTTTTCTGAATATCCCCTTTCCGGTTCAATAGTGAGCTCAGTGCTGGTGTTCCCCTTCCTGGCCTGCAACACCTTCATGAATGCTCCTTCTGGGTTCCCTATAGCTGCATCAACTTCCAAAAAAAAAAAGAGATTGCTTTTGGTTAGAGAAGAAGAGAAGACTGACAGTCCATCTTCAGTCCATAGCCACAAAACCCAGTCAAATAAATTAGGGTTCAGCAAATACTAAAACCATCAGTACTACAGTCAGCGATACTGCTGAGATGAGTTTTTTCTTAGAGCCATGTCTTGGAACCTCCGAGCGCGAAAAAGTATTAAAAAGAAAAAAAGGAAAAGGACATTTGTTGTTCTTAAATAGTAAAGACAAGAAAAGGATGAAAGAAGTTTAACTGTTCTAAACCCATTCTTGAGTTGAGCATGGGCTTATACCTGATGTATATAATCTATCCCTTGGGAAGTTAAGGCAGGATTACCAGGAGTTTGAGACTCTTAATAAAAACCAAGGTCTGGGGCTGTACCTCCGTGGTTGAGCCCTTGGTTTAGTATGGTGCTGGGTTTAATCCCCTGCACTGAAAAACAAACAAAACAACAAGGAAAAACCCTAAAACCATTCTTCTATGTGAATAGCTTGTGGATTCTTAAAGAATATACCAAATCCAACATGTTACCTGCCTAACGCACTTTATCCTATTCTGTGCTTTAGGCCTGCTTCAGTCTCTGATTTTAGAAGCACAGCAGAGATCACTGTCTTGGCTATAGTTATGTGGCAACACAAGATCTGGACTGGGAGTGCCTAGTCTTCCCGCTTAAATGATGGGAATGTTGGGGCCTCATGTCCTGGACCTGTCCTCGCCTGACTTGACTCCAGCCCCTTCTGTTCGCTCTGGGCTTCTGTGCTCTCACTAATGTAGTTCTCAGTTTTCCTCTGGTCTGGATCCCAGTCAGTCCTGGCTACCTTGATTTCCTGCTGCTCACTGAGAAGCTTCATCAGGAGGCCTGATCTGGATATGAGCTTGGCACGGGACAATTGCAAGTGAGTCTCAGAGCTGTCCATCTTCAAAGTCTTGATAATGTGAGAAATGAGCCTTCTCATGTTGTTGTTGGGGATGAGGGGCTTCAGCTGCTGGTTCAGCTGAGTTTCAGACTGGTGATAACAGTGCTGGGTAAGCAGCACGGATGGGTGGGGTGTGTGAGTCACTGCCTACGATGTAGAATCCTGGCTGAGTCTCACCGGCTTTCTGAACAGTTGGAACTAAGCTGGATATAGGCACAGCAGACTCTGCAGCAGGAGTCTTGAGGGCTGCATTTTCTGATATAGTTTCTTCTGACAGGGATGTTTGATTGTGGAGAAGAGGAGACTCCTATGCCCTGTTCCCTTGGAAGTGAGGGCTCTGGATAGAAGGAGTCTCCCACCAACCTCTTGGGCTTCTGCACCAGGTCAAGGTGCTGCAGCTCCATTGCAGGTGGGCTCCTGAGCCGCCTGTCTTTGGCAATGTTCTGTTCAGATGGCGGGGCCCTCTGTTTGCTCCTCGGGTTCTTTTTGCTTCCTTCCTTGAAGTGCCTTTTGTGTGTGCTTCCTGGTCCCCCAAGGACTCTGTTCAGCCTGTGGAATCTTCTCTCTTCATTCTCAATCTCTGCAAGACTGTGTCCCTCTGCCTGGGACTTTGGTGTTTAGTTTGTGGCTTCTAAAAATATTACACAGAGAGGGTACATTCTGGACACCTGAATGCATTGTCCTTAGCTCAATGAGGCAGAGAGTGAGAACGAAAACCATCAGTACTACAGTCAGCGATACTGCTGAGATGAGTTTTTTCTTAGAGCCATGTCTTGGAACCTCCGAGCGCGAAAAAGTATTAAAAAGAAAAAAAGGAAAAGGACATTTGTTGTTCTTAAATAGTAAAGACAAGAAAAGGATGAAAGAAGTTTAACTGTTCTAAACCCATTCTTGAGTTGAGCATGGGCTTATACCTGATGTATATAATCTATCCCTTGGGAAGTTAAGGCAGGATTACCAGGAGTTTGAGACTCTTAATAAAAACCAAGGTCTGGGGCTGTACCTCCGTGGTTGAGCCCTTGGTTTAGTATGGTGCTGGGTTTAATCCCCTGCACTGAAAAACAAACAAAACAACAAGGAAAAACCCTAAAACCATTCTTCTATGTGAATAGCTTGTGGATTCTTAAAGAATATACCAAATCCAACATGTTACCTGCCTAACGCACTTTATCCTATTCTGTGCTTTAGGCCTGCTTCAGTCTCTGATTTTAGAAGCACAGCAGAGATCACTGTCTTGGCTATAGTTATGTGGCAACACAAGATCTGGACTGGGAGTGCCTAGTCTTCCCGCTTAAATGATGGGAATGTTGGGGCCTCATGTCCTGGACCTGTCCTCGCCTGACTTGACTCCAGCCCCTTCTGTTCGCTCTGGGCTTCTGTGCTCTCACTAATGTAGTTCTCAGTTTTCCTCTGGTCTGGATCCCAGTCAGTCCTGGCTACCTTGATTTCCTGCTGCTCACTGAGAAGCTTCATCAGGAGGCCTGATCTGGATATGAGCTTGGCACGGGACAATTGCAAGTGAGTCTCAGAGCTGTCCATCTTCAAAGTCTTGATAATGTGAGAAATGAGCCTTCTCATGTTGTTGTTGGGGATGAGGGGCTTCAGCTGCTGGTTCAGCTGAGTTTCAGACTGGTGATAACAGTGCTGGGTAAGCAGCACGGATGGGTGGGGTGTGTGAGTCACTGCCTACGATGTAGAATCCTGGCTGAGTCTCACCGGCTTTCTGAACAGTTGGAACTAAGCTGGATATAGGCACAGCAGACTCTGCAGCAGGAGTCTTGAGGGCTGCATTTTCTGATATAGTTTCTTCTGACAGGGATGTTTGATTGTGGAGAAGAGGAGACTCCTATGCCCTGTTCCCTTGGAAGTGAGGGCTCTGGATAGAAGGAGTCTCCCACCAACCTCTTGGGCTTCTGCACCAGGTCAAGGTGCTGCAGCTCCATTGCAGGTGGGCTCCTGAGCCGCCTGTCTTTGGCAATGTTCTGTTCAGATGGCGGGGCCCTCTGTTTGCTCCTCGGGTTCTTTTTGCTTCCTTCCTTGAAGTGCCTTTTGTGTGTGCTTCCTGGTCCCCCAAGGACTCTGTTCAGCCTGTGGAATCTTCTCTCTTCATTCTCAATCTCTGCAAGACTGTGTCCCTCTGCCTGGGACTTTGGTGTTTAGTTTGTGGCTTCTAAAAATATTACACAGAGAGGGTACATTCTGGACACCTGAATGCATTGTCCTTAGCTCAATGAGGCAGAGAGTGAGAACGAAAACCATCAGTACTACAGTCAGCGATACTGCTGAGATGAGTTTTTTCTTAGAGCCATGTCTTGGAACCTCCGAGCGCGAAAAAGTATTAAAAAGAAAAAAAGGAAAAGGACATTTGTTGTTCTTAAATAGTAAAGACAAGAAAAGGATGAAAGAAGTTTAACTGTTCTAAACCCATTCTTGAGTTGAGCATGGGCTTATACCTGATGTATATAATCTATCCCTTGGGAAGTTAAGGCAGGATTACCAGGAGTTTGAGACTCTTAATAAAAACCAAGGTCTGGGGCTGTACCTCCGTGGTTGAGCCCTTGGTTTAGTATGGTGCTGGGTTTAATCCCCTGCACTGAAAAACAAACAAAACAACAAGGAAAAACCCTAAAACCATTCTTCTATGTGAATAGCTTGTGGATTCTTAAAGAATATACCAAATCCAACATGTTACCTGCCTAACGCACTTTATCCTATTCTGTGCTTTAGGCCTGCTTCAGTCTCTGATTTTAGAAGCACAGCAGAGATCACTGTCTTGGCTATAGTTATGTGGCAACACAAGATCTGGACTGGGAGTGCCTAGTCTTCCCGCTTAAATGATGGGAATGTTGGGGCCTCATGTCCTGGACCTGTCCTCGCCTGACTTGACTCCAGCCCCTTCTGTTCGCTCTGGGCTTCTGTGCTCTCACTAATGTAGTTCTCAGTTTTCCTCTGGTCTGGATCCCAGTCAGTCCTGGCTACCTTGATTTCCTGCTGCTCACTGAGAAGCTTCATCAGGAGGCCTGATCTGGATATGAGCTTGGCACGGGACAATTGCAAGTGAGTCTCAGAGCTGTCCATCTTCAAAGTCTTGATAATGTGAGAAATGAGCCTTCTCATGTTGTTGTTGGGGATGAGGGGCTTCAGCTGCTGGTTCAGCTGAGTTTCAGACTGGTGATAACAGTGCTGGGTAAGCAGCACGGATGGGTGGGGTGTGTGAGTCACTGCCTACGATGTAGAATCCTGGCTGAGTCTCACCGGCTTTCTGAACAGTTGGAACTAAGCTGGATATAGGCACAGCAGACTCTGCAGCAGGAGTCTTGAGGGCTGCATTTTCTGATATAGTTTCTTCTGACAGGGATGTTTGATTGTGGAGAAGAGGAGACTCCTATGCCCTGTTCCCTTGGAAGTGAGGGCTCTGGATAGAAGGAGTCTCCCACCAACCTCTTGGGCTTCTGCACCAGGTCAAGGTGCTGCAGCTCCATTGCAGGTGGGCTCCTGAGCCGCCTGTCTTTGGCAATGTTCTGTTCAGATGGCGGGGCCCTCTGTTTGCTCCTCGGGTTCTTTTTGCTTCCTTCCTTGAAGTGCCTTTTGTGTGTGCTTCCTGGTCCCCCAAGGACTCTGTTCAGCCTGTGGAATCTTCTCTCTTCATTCTCAATCTCTGCAAGACTGTGTCCCTCTGCCTGGGACTTTGGTGTTTAGTTTGTGGCTTCTAAAAATATTACACAGAGAGGGTACATTCTGGACACCTGAATGCATTGTCCTTAGCTCAATGAGGCAGAGAGTGAGAACGAAAACCATCAGTACTACAGTCAGCGATACTGCTGAGATGAGTTTTTTCTTAGAGCCATGTCTTGGAACCTCCGAGCGCGAAAAAGTATTAAAAAGAAAAAAAGGAAAAGGACATTTGTTGTTCTTAAATAGTAAAGACAAGAAAAGGATGAAAGAAGTTTAACTGTTCTAAACCCATTCTTGAGTTGAGCATGGGCTTATACCTGATGTATATAATCTATCCCTTGGGAAGTTAAGGCAGGATTACCAGGAGTTTGAGACTCTTAATAAAAACCAAGGTCTGGGGCTGTACCTCCGTGGTTGAGCCCTTGGTTTAGTATGGTGCTGGGTTTAATCCCCTGCACTGAAAAACAAACAAACAACAAGGAAAAACCCTAAAAACATTCTTCTATGTGAATAGCTTTCGGATTCTTAAAGAATATACCAAATCCAACATGTTACCTGCCTAATGCACTTTATCCTATTCTGTGTTTTAGGTCTGCTTCTGTGCTTCTGTGCTCTCACTGATGTAGTTCTCAGTTTTCCACTGGTCTGGATCCCAGTCAGTCCTGTCTACCTTGATTTCCTGCTGCTCACTGAGAAGCTTCATCAGGAGGCCTGTTCTGGATATGAGCTTGGCACGGGACAATTGCACGTGAGTCTCAGAGCTTTCCATCTTCAAAGTTTTGATAATGTGAGAAATGAGCCTTCTCACGTTGTTGTTGGGGATGAGGGGCTTCAGCTGCTGGTTCAGCTGAGCTTCAGACTGTTCACCTGGTGATAACAGCGCTGGGTAAGCAGCACGGATGGGTGGGGTGTGTGAGTCACTGCCTACAATGTAGAATCCTGGCTGAGTCTCACCGGCATTTTGAACAGTTGGAACTAAGGTGGATATAGGCACAGCAGACTCTGCAGCAGGAGTCTTGAGGGCTGCATTTTCTGATATAGTTTCTTCTGACTCAGGGATGTTTGATTGGAGGGAAGAGGAGACTCCTATGCCCTGTTCCCTTGGAAGTGAGGGCTCTGGATAGGAGTTTCCCACTAACCTCCTGGGCTTCTGCACCAGGTCAAGGTGCTGCAGCTCCATTGTGGGTGGGCTCCTGAGCCGCCTGTCTTTGGCAATGTTCTCTACAGATGGCGGGGCTCTCTGCTCCTCGGGTTCTTTTTGCTTCCTTCCTTGAAGTGCCTTTTGTGTGCGCTTCCTGGTCCCCTGAGGACTCTGTTCCTCCTGTGGAACCTTCTCTTTTCATTCTCAATTGCCCCAAGACTGTGTCCCTCTGCCTGGGCACGTTCCCATGTTTTTCAAAATTTGTGTCGTTTAATTTTGGGCCCTAAACGGCTAGACTGCTGCACAAGCATGGCGGTTTTCTCCTTCTTTCTAACCTCATCAATTTCTGCATCTAATAAATTTTCTAGAAAATAAAGCTTATTCAACTTATTTTTGTAATTCAAGTTACTGGAATTGGATTCGTATTTAAGAGCACTCTTTGTATCACTTTTCACCATTCCCAGAGAACTGTCTTGTACGTTAGAAAAAAGCAGTTTAATGAATGGTAACAGTGTAGACAGTACATCTTCCTGATTTCCCCGAGAAATATGGCAATATGTAATTTAGTGCACTAAGGACATCACTTTTATCGTTAAAGTCGAGCTGTTCGTTCATGAAACCCAAGTAAGTGCCACCATCCTTTTCTGAATATCCCCTTACCGGTTCAATAGTGAGCTCAGTGCTGGTGTTCCCCTTCCTGGCCTGCAACACCTTCATGAATGCTCCTTCTGGGTTCCCTATAGCTGCATCAGCTTCCAAAAAAGAAGAGATTGCTTTTGGTTAGAGAAGACTGACAGCCCATCTTCAGTCCACAGCCACAAAACCCAGTCAAATAAATTAGGGTTCAGCAAATACTGGAGTGCCATTAATAAAGAGAAGTATAAACCTAAACTTAAACCTGAGAAATGGAAATAACAGAGAGAGAAGATTAATGGCAGCTCAGAACATGTCACAGTCTGAACACAGGAAATCTATTTAGGACAGCCAATTGCCCAGGCCTCAGGAAAAGTTTAGGGCTGGAAGATATGGTCTCACAAACGTGCCCAGGCTGGCTTTGAACTTGGCTCTTCTTGCCTCAGACTCTTTAGTAACTAGGATTGTGACCCCACCCAGTTTAGATAAATACTTTTAAAATTACATGAGTGATCTGTGTGTGAAAGACGAGGTTGAGAGCAAGCACAGAGTTGGTCAGTCTAGGCATGAAGAGCCCTCTGTTTATTAGGAGAGCCAGGCAGCACTCACTGGTTACAGACAGGCGCTCTCAGACTAAATAAAATGGCATCACTTACAGTCTTATAAAACTGCAAAAGCAAACGAAACAAAACCAATCTACACTTGCCCTATAAGACAGAGGGCACGTGAGACCTACTGAATATAAAACCAGCTTACGGAGTGTACTACACTGTATGGTAAATGATCGCTGGAAGGCAAGACACCAAGCAGAGAGCACAGTACACAGTGCATGGCCATTAGTGTTATTGTCCCCCTTCCGTTCCTTTCTCTCGCTCTTATGCACATGGAACAGATACCTTTAAAATCATGCAGTAATGGCTGAGAGCCCAACTTTCAA